CAGGTCGGGGTTTCTGTCAGGTTGGGGGGGTCTGTCAGGTCGGGGGGGTGAGGGGGTGCTGGGGAGGTGCTGGAGCTCCAGAGTGAGATCTTCTGGCTGAGCAGAGGCAGAGCTGGATCTTGGGGAGATGTGGTGGGAAGAGCAGCCTGAGAGGGAAATCCTGGCGTTTCCCAGGATTCAGTGACCCCTCTGCTCCTGGGAAGCATGAGGAAGGGGGGACTGGAGGCTTTTGGGTGCTGGGAGCTGTCCCCTGCCTGTGCCACCTCGCCAGCCCCATGGAGGGGTGCCAGCCCTGCTGTGCCCTAGGGGGCTTCCAGGCTTTTCCCTGGAGCAGAGCTCCTGGCAGAAGACCTCAGGACCGGTGGTCTGGAGATCTGAGGATGCAGAAAGGCACCTTAAACCCCCTCCTTGGACTGCCCTGCCTCTCCTCTGCCCAGTGGAAGGCAGGATGTCCCTTCCCTGAGCTCTGCAATGGGCAGATCTTCTCCTGCCTGGCCCCTGGAGGAGCTCCCAGATGTGGAGCAGGAGGATCACGGTGGGTTCCAGCAGGAAGGTCCAGCTCCTCCAGCCGGGAGGGAGTGACGGAGGCATCCAAAAGCAAAGCTGGGTTTGATGGGAGACCAGGCTGGTGCCCAAAGGTTCCCCCATGGACACAGAATGGGAAGGAGGAGTGAGGAGTCACCTGGAGTGGGTTGGGCAGGAAGGGTGGGCTCGGGATGTGACCCAATCTTTGCTTTAATATGAGAATAATGAGAGGAATGGGAGGGTGAAGCAATGGGCATTGCAACACCCCTGGTGGACGTAACCCCGGGGTTACTGGTCAAACTGGGGCACCCTCCAGCATGGCCAGAGGCCGGGGACATCTCTGTCACCTCCAGGGGACAGGGGGGAGGCGTGGGTGGAAGGGCAGCCCTGGCACAGTGGGGCAGAGATGCTGGGCTGAGGTCCTGCCAGGGGAGGCAGGAGGGCTGGGGTGGTCCCAGCAGAGGTGACACCTGCCCAGGAGTGGCCTGAGGGGACTGGCAGACCCCAGAGACCCCGCTGGGGCTGTTATGGGGGGGCACACTCACTGCTCCCAGCTCCTGAGGTCAGGGCTGAGCCGGGGGCTCTGGCAGCAGCTCAGGGATGTCCCTCCTTCCCCAGCCCTGGGGGTGTCCCAGGCTGGGTGGAACGGGACTTGGAGCCACCTGGGATGGTGGCAGGTGTCCTGCCATGGCAGGGGGTGGCACTGGATGGGCTGTGAGGTCCTTCCCACGCAAACTCTCCTGGGATTCTGTGATTCCTTGTTTTGGGAATGGACCAGCGGGGCTGGGGGAGGCTGCTGGGGGTGACACCAGCCCAGTGTCCCTGCTGCGACCAGGACTTGGTTCCAGGAGTTTCCAGGGGGCTGGCCTGCATCCTGCAAGGCACCAGAGCAGGAGGAGAGGTTAATTACAGCCTGTGCTAATTGCACCCGTGAAAACACCTCACGCAACACAGCCCCTGGCTGCCAACTGGGCCAAGGGCCACCACCCCCTGCAGCCCGGGCTGGCAGTGGGGGGTGGCAGAGCCCGGCCCCCCGGCACTGTGGGACCTTGGGGACAGATGCTGGGCAGTGGGAGGGGAAGGGCAGAGGAGCTCCTGCTGCCCAAACTGAGCAAGGGATGGGGAGCAGTGGTGCCATGGTCCTGCTGTCATTCCAGGTGGGAGATGTTTTCCAGCAATCTGATGCTCTGCAGGGTGAGGTTTGGCTGCCAGCAGGTGACTGTGCCCAGCCTGCCTGGGGTGATGGCCATGGACCAGGAGCAGCTCCTGCTGTCCCCACCAGCTGAGATTTCCTTTCCCAGGGCTGGCAGCCCTGTGCCCAGCAGAGATTCCTAGGACAGGAAGAGTTTAGTGAGCAGCAGGTCTGATCTTACCGACCTGGAGTCTCTGCAATGGCTGTCAATAGCCCAGGAGGTGACAGCAGTGACAGCTCGGGTGACTCAGGGTCCCCGTGTGACTCACGGCCACTCTCCACCCCTGGGTGGGTGACCTGCTTCCACCTGAGCCACTCCATCCCCGGGATGAGATCCACAGCGAGCCTTCCCCTGGGCCAGCCCCGGCCGCCCACGCAGGATCCTCCTGATTCACCTGCCCCGCTCCTGGGCTGAGCTCGGGGTGGCACCATGGACCTGCTGCTGCTCCCCGGGCTGCTGCTCCTGCCCCTGGCAGCGCTGCTGCTCTACAGGTGCAGCCCCCACTTCCAGTTCCTCTGCAAGGTGTTCTTTTTCAACTGCTGGATCGTGGCCTTGGCCACCCTGCTGTCCCCCTTGGCCGCCTTCCGGGGACGCTCCGTGGAGAACATGAGGTGAGCATGGGCTGGGCTTGGGGAGAGCTGGCTGGGGCTTGGCTCAGCTGGAGGAGATCCCGTGGTTTGTGGCCACAGGCTCTGTCCTGCCCTGGCTGGAGCCACAGCTGGGTCACAGCTGGTGGCAGAGCCCTGGGGCCAAGGCCAGGGCTGTGGTCACATCTGTGGGGCAGTGAAGTGCAACTTGTGGTGTGAGAGGTGCTGGCTGTGCCCAGGGAGGGTCAGGCCATGCTGGAGTTGGGATTTGTGGTCCCTGAGGGATGAAATAACATAAAAGGGATCATTCCTGGCCATGGTATGTTGGAGTCATCTCCTGGGTGGGTAATGGGGGATTTGGAAGTACCATCAGGGCAGGGGGCAAATACCTGCCCAGTGCTGTGTCCCTAGCTCTGGTTTTGCCCATGGGAGACCCGGGAACAGCACTTTGGCAGAGGGATTGAGGGTGGAGAGGCCCTGGCACAAATTATTCCATGGCTGCCCCTGGATCCCTGGAAGTGTCCCAGGCCATGTTGGATGGGGCTGGGAGCAGCCTGGGACAGTGGGAGGTGTCCCTGCCCACTGCTGGGGGTGACGCTGGGTGGGTTTAAGGTCCCTTCCCACCCAAACTATTCCATGTTTGTATGGTTCTGGGGTGTCTTGGTGCCATCACCTGGCAGGGGCACAGCCCTGTCCCCATCACAGCCATGCTCTGATCACAGCCATGTCCCGACTCTGCTCCCGAGGGTGGAAGCAGGGAGATAACACCGGGGAGATAACACAGGGAGATAACATCAAAGTGCAACACCGGAGGAAGGCGCTCTCAGGGTGTTGCAATCCCGTTGCTGGATTCCCGGGCAGGATGAGCACAGCAGGAGGGATGCAATTACACAGGGAAAATATCCCAGCTTGAGAAACTCGCTGGGGATTTGTGCCGAGGGACCCCGGCCCGCGGCGGGAGCGCGGCCGCAGGTTCGGTGCTATCAGTCTGAGGTTCCGTGGTACCGATCAGAGGTTCGCTGGTACCGGAGGTGGTTCGGTGTTATCAGTCCAAGGTTCGCTGGTACCGGAGGTGGTTCGGTATTCCCGGTGGTGGTTCGGTGTTATCAGTCCAAGGTTCGCTGGTACCGGAGGTGGTTCGGTATTCCCGGTGGTGGTTCGGTGTTATCAGTCCAAGGTTCGCTGGTACCGGAGGTGGTTCGGTATTCCCGGTGGTGGTTCGGTGTTATCAGTCCAAGGTTCGCTGGTACCGGAGGTGGTTCGGTGTTATCAGTCCAAGGTTCGCTGGTACCGGAGGTGGTTCGGTATTCCCGGTGGTGGTTCGGTGTTATCAGTCCAAGGTTCGCTGGTACCGGAGGTGGTTCGGTGTTATCAGTCCAAGGTTCGCTGGTACCGGAGGTGGTTCGGTATTCCAGGCGGTGGTTCGGTGGTACCGGCGGTGCTGCAGCCTGTCCCAGGTCCTTCCCGGCGGAGTGCCGGGCGCTGCTCCAAAGCGCACGCTGCCGGCCCAGCGGCAGTGTCGAGTGAGGCTGTGACTCACCCGCCTTATCAGCGCCGCCTTATCTTGTCCCACCGACAGCTCCGTGCGGGCGCAGCACGCCCAGCTCCCTCTCCTCCGAATCCCAAAGCCTGCGGCTCAGAGCGCTTCCCTGTCATTAGTCCTGGCTTTGGGGCACCGTTTCTCCCCGGATCCTCTGGGATCTCCGAGCCTGCGGCTCCCGAGGGATGGGGGCGATACCGCGGACCTTGTGCCTCCTTCTCCCTTCTCACCCTGCCTGGTGCTGAGCCCTTCCCTGCCCCCTGCGCTGTCCCCTGGGGCAGTGACAGACGTGGGGACCCTGGCACAGACCCTCTGTGCGTCGGACAGTGCCCTGCTCCAGCACCGATGCGTCCCAGGATTTTGTCTCCACGACTGCTGGAATCCCTGGTGCTCCCTCCTCCCTCCACTCCTCTCATTATTCCCATCCTGACCATCACCCATCACTGCCATCCCGATATTCCTCCTCCTGTCCAACCCTCCCGGGATGTGACACCACTGTTCTGCTCAGATCCATCTCTTCCTGACACTGCAGGTCGGGTGGAGCCATTTGTGATTCCCCTAACGAATGTCTGGGCTGGTTTTCCCTTCCCCCTGCCGCACAAAGGAGTGCAGGGGCAGTCCCTGGGGTCACCCACGTCCTTGGGGATCTGTCTGTCCCTCTGCCACCCATCCCCAGGGCTCATCCATGCCCAGCTCAGCTCCTCCCTGCTGGGATCCACCTCTGGCTTTAGCGGTCTGGGATCTGCATTTCCGTCCACACACGGATCCAGCTGAGCACCTGGGGAGCCTCCTCCGGGCAGAAAGTTTGTCCTCGTTGGGATGTGAACATCCCGTCCCCATCCCCATGTCCCCAACCCCATGTCCCCATCCCCTTCCCCATCCCCACGTACCCATCTCCATTTCCATCCCCATCCCACCCCTTCTCTTTTTGCTTTCCCATAATCCCTGGACATCAAAGTCCTGTTTTTTCCTTGCCACCACCTCGTGCTGGTCACTCTCCCTCCTCAGCAGCTCCCTCTGCTCTGAGCGAGGAGCTGGGCCCAGCTCAGGTGGGAGCCAGGCGAGTTCTGAGCCTCACAGGCTGCAAATGTGTGACAAAGCCAAGCCTCCCTGAGTTCTGAGCCCGGGTCCAGCAGTGCAGCCCAGCCTAACCCTGCCCGCCCAGGCCGGTGCAGAGCTGCTCCCTGCACGTGTTTCTCCGCCTTATCTCGTCCCTTATCTCGTCCCTTTTCTCATTCCTTGTCTCATTCCTTATCTTGTTCCTCATCTCGTCCCTAATCTGGTCCCTTCTCTCCCGCAGGCTCCTGCGGGCAGCTCTCCTGCCCCTCAAGCGCTTCTACGGCATCAGGATGCAGGTGAGGGGCTCGGAGCGGCTGCGGCTGCCGGGGCCCTTCGTGATCGTCTGCAACCACCAGGCTTCCCTCGACCTCATGGGTGCGTGGGGGCAGCGCAGGGGGGATCCCCGGCACCTCGGGGGGCTCCAGGCGTGCACCGGAATGGCTTTGGGGAGTCAGCACCAGGATCAGGGCAGGGATGTGTGCTAGGAATGGGCCAGGAGAGCTTTTGGGACAGGGCTGTGCTGCAGGGAGAGGAGGGACAACGAGAGATGATGCCACAGGGTGGTCCTGGGACTGGGGACAGCTTAAAGTCCTTTAAGTCAAGGCTAAAATAACCCCAACCTGGTCCTACATTAGGGTATAATTAGTGTATAAATTATGTTAGGGTATAAATGATTAATTAATCTGTGCACTGATGTAACTTGGCCTCTCCAGAGAGTTTCTCTCTGCAGTTATCACCTCTCAGGACTGGCTGAGCTGCAGAATTTATTCCTGATATCCAGCTGGTTTGTCCAGCCTGGGGTTCCACTTCCAAGCAGTTTTCCCAGGCGATTTTTCTGCTGCCAATGCCGTGGGTTGGGAAGGTGTTGATGGGTGTTCTCCATGCCCCAGGAATGGTGGAGGTGATCCCCGAGCGCTGCGTGCCCATCGCCAAGCGGGAGCTGCTCTACCTGGGCACGGTGGGCTGGGCCTGCTGGCTCAGTGGCATCATCTTCATCGAGCGCCAGCGCAGGGACGCGGCCATCGAGGTCATCTCCCGCACCGCCAGCGCCATGCGGCGAGACAACGTGAGGGACAGGGCTGGGGACACCGCGGGTCGGGGCTGCTGTTGTAAACGCACGGCGACGCCGCTGCAGAGCGCGACACAGACTCTGTCAGAAGGGGGTAGAAGAGGGATTTATTATAGCAACATGTGGCCTTTATAGTTTTTCAAGATAATTACATTTACTTGACAGACACATACACCGCCCATTGGTCATAAGAAAGAAACAAAGTTCTCAATAGGTGAACAAGGAGCCGTGTCATCCTGTGAGCCAGCTAAAGTCCAGATCTTTTAGTTTTCTCTCTTTCATCACATTGTCATGGTGATAGCCTCGGTACCTTCCTTGAGAGAGGGACATGGCTTTCCTTATCTCCAGGAGGCCTTTGCTGGCTCACAAGAACAGCACAAAAATGTCTTTCCTACACGGTGAGCCCTGTGGCAGGGAGGAATGATGAATCTGACTCCATGTTGTCAGGAGGCTAATTTATTATTTTATTATACTATATTATATTAAAGAATACTATACTATACTAAAGAATACAGAAAGGATACTTACAGAATGCTAAAAAGATAATAATGAAAACTCGTGACTCTCTCCAGAGTCCCGACACAGCTTGGCCCCAATTGGCCAGTGGGTCAAAACAACTCACAGCAGAATCCAATCAGGCAATCGCCTGTGGGCAAACAATCTCCAAACACATTCCACATGAGCAAAACACAGGAGAAGCAAATGAGATAAGAATTGTTTTCTTTTCTCTGAGGCCTCTCACTGCCTTTCAGCTTCCCAGGAGAAAAACCCTGGGCCAAGGAATCATGTTCAGAGAATGTGAATGCCACAGGCTGTGGGCAGGACTGACCCAGCTGAGGTTGGGGTGGCTTGGTTTGAAAAGCCAGGTGTCTGCTGAGGAAGGCAGGAGCCTCCCCTGAAATGGAAAATGTAAACCCCCTCCCTCTGAACTGTTATAATTTTGAAATTAAGGGGTTCTCAGGCAAAGATAAGGGAGTAGGAATAACAGTTCTTTACCAGGAAAATTAAAATACAAACATCAGTGGTCCATGAACAGAAGAGATCTCAAGGGAGGATTGGTTGTGGAAGAGATAAAGAAAACTGCCCAGTTAACAGAAGCTAACTGCCCCACTCTAACAGATGACCATAGAATACACACTCCCAGCCACATCTTTCAGCCCAAAACACGGGGTCACCTCTGTCCCTCTCCCCTGCAGCTCCGTGTGTGGGTTTTCCCAGAAGGCACCAGGAACCTGGGCAAATCCATGCTGCCCTTCAAGCGTGGCGCTTTCCACCTGGCTGTGCAGGCCCAGGTAAGGAAATGGTTAATCAAATGTTGGACTCACTGGTCTCGGAGGCCTTTTCCAAAATTATTCCTTCCCCTTTGGCTCACCCTGGATGGAGCTGGGTGGGTGTGAACCCTGGGGCAGAGGGATGGGGTGTTTGGTCCCCAGGGATGGGAGGTTTGGTCGCCAGGGATGGAGGGATTTGATCCCCAGGGATGGAGGGATTTTATGTCCAGGGAGGGACAGGCAGGAGCAGGAGTCCTGCCTGGGGAGGGCTCTCTCTGGGGAGCCCCCAAACCTTTGTGTCCTGCAGGTTCCCATTGTCCCCATCGTGATCTCCCCGTACTGGGACTTCTTCAGCCCCAAGGAGAAGAGATTCACCTCTGGTAAGGGATGGACAGGAATTCCCATGGCAGAGGGCTGGGGGTGAGGCACCTGGGGGTGGGGAGGCAGCCAGGGTGGAAGATGCTTGGGAGAATACCCAGTTCCTGGTGGGATCCTCTAACACATCCCTGGCTTTTCCCTCCTCTCCCAGGGACCTGCACCATCCAAGTCCTCCCCAGAGTGGAAACACGGGGCCTGAGCCCAAAGGATGTCCCCGAGCTGACCGAGAGTATCCGCCAGGCCATGGCCGATGCCCTGGCCGAGATGTCCATGAGTGACCACGGGGACCAGGACATGAAGCAGCCTCTGCTGGGACCAGGGGAGGACAGGGACAGCCCCCAGGGCCAGGGGGAGACAGCCAGGAGCAGAAAATAGGCAGAGGGAGTGAGTCCCTCGGGGACACCAGGGAGGTGTCCCTTGTCCCCTGAGGAGGTGTCCTGCAGCCCTGCCACCGCCCCAGCAGGATGGTGCCCTAAGGGGAACAGAGCAGGGCAGGATGGGGACCAGGCAGCACCCCCAGAACAGAGCAAGGTGCCCCCAAAAACAGAGCAAGGTGTCCCCTAAAACCCCTCGTTGTGACTGTGCATCCCCTGGATGTCCCTCTGCCAGACCTGGAGCTGTGGCTGTCCCCCAGGATGGCTCCTGCCTGCTCACTGGGCAGGGCAGGGATGGTCCAGGCAGGGCTGTGGACTCACAGCCCCATTTTCCACCCCTGATTGTTGGGCTCCCCCATGGATTCTCCTTCCAGAGGCTCCTACCAGCTGGGAATGCTGTTTGGGTGCAGCCAGCTCTGGGAAGGGGCCCAGAGCGTGTGGCCTGGGGCGGGACACGAGGTCCAGGGGAAGCTGCTGCGGGGGGAAGAGCATCCCGGGGGGGAAGAGCATCCTTGGTGCTGAGCTGTCAGCCAAGGGTGGGACATTAAAGAGTCTGGAGCTGGTGCTGTGTCCTGGCTGTGTGAGGGGGCTGAGGGGGATCCATCTCCTCAAGGAGACTTCACCCTGTGCAGGGAGCACCCTGAACATGGAGCACCCTGAACATGGAGCACCCTGAACAGGGAGCACACTGAATAGGGAGCACACTGACTAGGGAGCACAAAGCACCCTGCACACACACACACACACACAGCACCCTGCACACACACACAGCACCCTGCACACACACACACACACACAGCACCCTGCACACACACACAGCACCCTGCACACACACAGCACCACACAGAGCACCCTGCACACACACACAGAGCACCCTGCACACACACACACAGAGCACCCTGCACACACACACACAGAGCACCCTGCACACACACACAGCACCCTGCACACACACACACACACACAGCACCCTGCACACACACACAGCACCCTGCACACACACAGCACCCTGCAGGAGCATGCCCACCCCAGGGATGGTGTGAGGAGCACAGGGCAGGGTAAGGGTTACCCTGTCTGGGGCTGCCCCTGAGGCAGAGCTCTCCCTGCACCAGTAAATGCACAAGAAGAGCATCCATTGAAGCCTCAGATTCCCAGCAATACCTGGATCATGCCCACCTGGGCACAATCCCACCTGGAGGTGCCTCTGCATCGCCTCTGGACCATAACCCATCTAACAGCTGCATGGTTGCCTGCAGCCAGGCAGGGATTTGGGATCTCCTGGCTCCTTCCCAGCTGAGCAGCTCCTGTGTCAGCACCCCAGAGTGGCAGCAGGGCAGGGACAGGGCAGGGTGTGGCTGTCCCCTTGTGGGGAGCAGGGTGGGCAATGTTTCTCCTCCCACTCTGGGATAAAAAGTGTAAAGCACGGGCACAGAGCTCTGGTTTGGCACCATTCCTGCTCTCAGGAGAGCTGGATTATGGAGGAAATCCTTCAAATTTGTTGCAACCATCTGACACCAAACTGCAAAGACGCTTCCCATGAGGAACAACCCACGGGATCAGGAGATGTCACATGGGCATGGCCAAGGGCACAGGAAGGTCCCACATCCCAGAAAACTCCTTTAATCATTTCCTGCTTCCCAGGATTCCCAACATGTGGTGTAGTCCGTCAGCTCTGAGCTGGCCTGGGGGGCCCACCACACCCCCATCTTGGGGGTGGTTTGGCTGCCCAAAGTTTGAGTTTGGGGGGTTGAGCATCAGTGGAATCATGGAATGGTTTGGGTGGGAGAAACCATGAAGCCCATCCAGTTCTGCCATGGCAGGGACACCTCCCCCTGTCCCAGGCTGCTCCAAGCTCCAATGTCCAGCCTGGCCTTGGGCACTGCCAGGGATGCAGGGGCAGCCACAGCTGCTCTGGGCAAAACCTTGTGCTGCCTGGAGGGGCAGGGCCCAGCCAGATCCCTCCCTGGATTTTCCACTGGCAGTGGGAGGTGAAAGCTTGAGGAGAAGAAAAAGTCTTGGCAGGGGGGCTCTGGGAACACCTTGCTTTTTCTGGTCCTGCCCTGCCTGGCTGCTTGGGGTGCCCAGCCCTGGCACAGCTGCCCAGGGCAGTGCTGGGTTCCCATCCCAGGAGGGGTTTCACAGCCCTGTGGATGTGGCACTTGGGGACAGGGGTCAGTGCTGGCCTTGGCAGTGCTAGGGGAGCCATGAGCTCCTTGTCCCATCCAGGATGTCTGGCAGGGCACTGACCCCTGCCCACATCCTGGCAGGACTGGGTGAACTCGGGCCGTGCTCCTGCCTCGTGTCCTTGGGGGTGGCAGGTCCAGCCCCTCTGGCCACCCACAGCCTCTGGGGCTGCTCCAAAGGGCAGGGAGGTGAGCACAGAGCTGTGTCCAGCAAAACCTGAGCTGGGCAGGCGTGGGGACAGAGCTGTGGTCAGCTGAGATCCCATGGAAAAGGTCAGCCCCATCCATGGCTTCCTGTGAGGCCCTGGCACAGGGTGCCCAGAGCAGCTGGGGCTGCCCCTGGATCCCTTGGCAGTGCCCAAGGCCAGGCTGCATGGGATTGGAGCAGCAAGGGACAGTGGAAGGGGTCCCTGCCCATGGCAGGGGTGGAAGTGCTTTGAGGTCCCTTCCAGCCCAAACCATTCCATGATTCCATGGTTCCCACAGCCTCAAAGGGAAGGGAACTGCAAGGTCCCAGAGCAGGGGATGTGCCCAGGAATGTGGGGCTGTCGTGGAGCCCCTCAACTGTCCCACATTCTCACCAGGACACAGGGAAGCTCTTGGAACCCTGGAAACTGAGAATTTTGGACTTTCTGTGCTGACAGGCACTGACCCCCAAGAGAACACTGCATTGACCTGAGGCCATGGAGGAGCTTCCAAAATTGAATGATAGTGCTGAGACTGTGGGTGTGGAGTTTGAATAGAAGTGTGGAAATATCACAGGGTGGAAAACTTAGAGTTTAAGGTTTTAGAATATAGTAATAGATATAAAGATGGAGGTTTTAGAGCAGAGGCTGATCCTTCTCCTTCTCCTTCTCCTTCTCCTTCTCCTTCTCCTTCTCCTTCTCCTTCTCCTTCTCTTCTTCTCCATGGTTTTGGGTGGTTTTGTGTAATTGGATGAAAAAGCCCACATTGCAGGGCATGGGTGGTTGGTTATTGGGTTAAAAGTGCAAAAGAATTTAATAATTAATTAATAAATAATTAATTTTAATAATTGGACAGCTTATCCTTAAAATGCCTTGTAGAGAGAGATATTGGGCTCCATTTTTACCTTGTTAGAGAGAAGTGCTGTAGAACTCAGGGTCTGTGAAACTGTAACACAGATAAGGACTAATAAACATCTGAGTCCCAAAAAAATATACCATCTCACACATTTAACCCCAACCTTAACAGATAAAAGAAGTGAAGAACCCACAGGAATCAGCTCAGCCCTGCCCTGGCAGGTGTCCAGCTCCCATGTGTGGAATGGGAGTAGATGGGCCATTCCACATCCCCACACTCTCCTGTTCCTTTGTCCAGACTGGATGAAACTGGGCAAAAAGCCAGCCTGGGACATGTGACCTGCCCAAATCTGGTTAAATTTGAAGTACCTGTAAATTTTTCATTTCTGAGAAATCACCCCCAGCTCCCAGCCCCTCCTCAGGTTGTGTTCCCTGTTTTCATTTCCCATGTGTTCCCACTGCCTTCTTGACATCATTTCCCAGCAAACCTGTGTGGAGCCCCGGCCCAGACTGAACCTCCAGGGACCTTTCCCAATATTGCAAACATCCCTGCAGTCCTTGACCCCCGGAAGCTGTGGGCAGAGGGCAAACATTGCCTGGGCTTTATCTGCCCAGGCCTCCTGTGCCAGCCCGATTTCCTCAGTGGGTGGGACACAAGGATCCATTTCAGAGCCTGCAGTGGATCAGACAGAGATCCAGAGCGAGCCAAGAGCTGCAGGGGGAGGCTGTGGCTGTTCCCAACATCCACATCCAGCTGGAGACACGATGTCTCCAGCCCTTCCCGTCCTCTTCACCATCCTGCTCCTCTCAGCCGGGGCCTCTGGAGCACCGTGAGTCCCCTCTGTGTCCGTCCATGCCTGCTGGGTGCTTTAGCCTTGGCTCCCTGGCAGCTCCTGGTGGGGTTCAGTCCCTCCTGTGCCTGTTGGGTGCTTTAGCCTTGGCTCCCTGGCAGTTCCTGGGGAGATTCAATCCCTCCTGTACCTGTTGGGTGCTTTAGCCTTGGCTCCCTGGCAGTTCCTGAGGGGATTCAGTCCCTCCTGTGCCTGTTGGGTGGTTTAGCCTTGGCTCCCTGGCAGTTCCTGAGGAGATTCAATCCCTCCTGTGCCTGTTGGGTGCTTTAGCCTTGGCTCCTCAGCAGCTCCTGGAGGGGTTCAGTCCCTCCTGTGCCTGCTGGGGTGGTTGAGCTTCAGCCTCTTGGCAGTTCCTGGTGGGATTCAATCCCTCCCATGCCCTGGTTGCTGCCCAGGGTGCCCCAGCTGCACAGGCTGGGGGCTCTCCCTGCCCAGGAGCACTGAGGACATGACCCTGGTGGTCCTGGTGGCCCTGGTGGCTCCAAGGAGCTATTGTGCCCTCACCTGCAGAGCTGAGCTGAGGAGCCCAGAAGCAGAGAGGGAAGGCTGGGGGGGGGGTTCCAGCGCTCCCAGGAGCTTTTCCAGGTCTCTGTGGGACTGTCCTGGATGTGCCTTACCCCAGGGCTCTGCTGTCCCTTGTCCCTGCAGGAGTTACGTGGTGGTGTCCCCGGCCGTGCTGTACCACCCTCACCCTGCCACGCTCTGGGTGCACCTCAGTGACCTCCAGGGGCCCGTCCAGCTCTGTGTCCAGCTGCAGGGGGACAGCGGGACCCCCCCCACCACCCTGCTGAGCAGAGAGGTCCTGGAGCCTCACCTGCACCTGAACGTCACCTTCCCTGTGAGTGTCACCCCAGTGTCACCCCAGTGTCACCCCAAAGCAGCCGGGGGGGTCTGGGGGGCCTCCAGGCCATTTCCATCAGGGCTGGG